ATAAATTAAATGCATGCATACATACAGCGGAAGCATAAAGCATACAGCAACACTCATGTAATTCACCCAATACAATCATATCAAATACTCGACTAATAATTCACATGGAGAGCTAATCTGAAGTAAAACTACTAGCATGCATGCAATCCAAGTGAATCCTACAAGTATTTCTTCCTAAATACCAGGTGGTGACTTACTTGGTTGATCCGTGCCCTTTTTGCTAGCGTTTCTTTGCCCGTGAGGTGTCCAAAAATACTGATTTCTTTAAATTAGGTCCCTATTCACGTAAAAACAGTATTAGAACTGGAACCAAGACAAAAATCGGGCAAACAAAAAGCAATCGGGCCAAACAAAAAGCAATCGGGCTGGGAGTGCATGGTCACGCGCGCGGGAAGGCGCCAGTCACAGGCTGCATGCGCGCCCGCTTCCGCGTAGTCGCGGGGCCAGTTCGATCGGCTCGGCTTGCGTAAGCGGTTCGGCCCGGCTTACAAGCGACATGTGTCGATGCCTCGCTGGAGCTGCGTTGCTCCAACCGATGGTCGATGCGTATCCGGCGCCTGTCGCCGCCCTTCGTCGCTCGCCGGCCGCCCCTTTTTTTTTCTTTCTTCTTTCTCCTCTGTCCTCTGAAAATTGAAACACATTCCTCTTTTCTGATTTTCATATCTTTCGATCCGTAGATCGGATCGATATGATTCCTTCGGTAAAGTTCTAGATCGGGTTACGGGCTACGTCTTAGTATTTTTTTTGTAATTTTTTGCTTGACTATCGGACGAGTTCAGAACGTTGGAAGTTCGCTCATCTTTCTCGGACGACTCTCGGATCTCCGCCTTTGAGTAGAGGTCTCGGCCAAACTTCTTCACAGACCGTGCGTGAGTTGTTCCTAGGTGAAGATTTCAACATTTTAGGATCGATTCACGTAGGGAGGACTCAGATATGAGAAATGTCGTTTAGAAACCTTACCTCGCGAAATGTTCTTGAGTCCTAACGGAGCGTCGGCCTTGCTAGCTTCTCAATCCTTGTACGAGTCTCGTCTGAAGATGGATTCCGGCGGTGGTCCGTTAATCTTCCCGGCTGACTTCTCTCCAGTTTCTCTCTATCACCTTCTTTCTTTTGTAGGGAATCTGACGGGGTTCTCCTTGGACCCCTATTAGGGCTGGAGGGGCAAAATGACATTTTTGCCTCTCAGTTGACTTATCCCCTCGCTTTTTTTTTTCTTCTGGCGTTACACTCGGGTTGAGCCAAAATACATCAATCTAATCTCTCCCACTTTCTTCTCTATAGAATGAAATTACATCTTCAGAGAATTCTCGAAACTAAAGTTTGATGAAATTTGAGATGTAGTTCTCAGCAAAAGTATTCGCAAACGGAAAATCAGAGATTCATTAGGCAATGCTCTCAGTGTTGATCGAAGGGAAAGAAGTAAATCAAAGAGGCTGAACAAACATGGGTGATCAAAATCAAATAACCGAGAAAAATCTTCAAACAAACCAAACGTATAGTGTTGGGATTGTGGAGAAGAAGGGCACTTTCGGACAGATTTTACCAAAGTTAAGGAGAAGCAGAATCACAAATCTGAAGATGACAATGATTCTATATATTCAGTAGAAGATACTGAGGATGCTCTAATCTTTAGCGTGGACAACTTGATTAAATCTTGAATTTTGGATTCAGGTGCATTGTTTCATTCATCTCTAAGTAAGGAATTGTTTTGAAATTTCAAATCAGAACATTTTGGGAAGGTGTACCTTGCCAACAACAAATTCTTGGAGATTGAAGTAAAAGAGGATGTCTGCAAAAAAACTCCCGCAAGAAATCAGTGGACATTAAAGAATGTCAGATATATTTCTGGTCTCAAGAATAACTTGATCTCTATTAGTCAGGTGGATAGCACCGGTTATACAACAGAGCTTGGGAAGAGTTTGTGGAAGATTGTGAATGGTGCTCTGGTGGAAGCAAGTGGCACAAAATCTAGAACCTTATACACCACTGGGTTGTATAAGCATGGTTGTTACTGAGAGTGCTTTCAATTCAAGTCTATGGAACAATAGACTTGGACATATGAACATCGAAGAAATGAAGATGTTGGGGGGAGGGGGAAAGAAGTTTTAGAAGGCCTAAAATCTGGTGATATGGGTCTTTGTGACAGCTGCATTATGGGAAAACAAAAACGAGTTAGCTTCACAAAGGCTGCCAAAGAATAAAAAAGAGTGCGATTGAAAATTGTCTATACAGATGTTTAGGGTCCATCTTCAGTTTCATCACTTGGTGGATCAAAGTTCTAAGTCACCTTCATCGATGATTTTAGCGGGAAGGTATGGATTTATTTTCTAAAACAAAAGTTAGATTTGTTTGCCACCTTCAAGAAGTGGAAAGCTGAAGTTGAAAATCAGGCCGCCTTGAAGATCAAATGTTTGAGGTCTGACATTGGAGGAGAGTACGACAAGTTAGAGCTTAAAACATTTTGTGCAACTGAGGGATTTAGATTAATGTAGATAATTCCCGATAAGGCAAGACAAAATGGCATTGTAGAAAGAATGAACAAAATGTTGAATGAGTGGGCAAGAAGCATGAGGATTCATTCGGACTACCAAAGACATTCTGGGTTGATGCCATGAATACAATAGTCTATTTGATCAATAGAAAGCCGCCAGTACTCTTGGAGTTCAAATTGCCTGAAGAAGTATGGATAGGAAAAGAACTCAAGTACTCTCACTTGAGAACTTTTGGCTGTACTACGTATGTTCATGTTGATCTAGAGAAAAGAGATAAGCTCGAGGCTAAGGACGTGAAGTGCTATTTCATAGGATATGACTCTGACATATTCAGGTACATGTTTTAGGATGACAAGAATAGGAAAATCCTCAGACAATGTGATGTAACCTTTGATGAAAATGTCCGGTAAAAGAAAAGAGAAGATCTAAGACCATGAAGCACATGATGGTGGCTTAATGAGACATTTTGGGATTAATAAAGCCTATAATATGTTGCATCAACACTTCTTTTGATCAAAGATGAAGCACGATATTCATAAGTTTTTTAGCCAATATTTTAAATACAAAGAAGCTAAATTTAGATCACAACCAAATGTATTGTATACTCCTTTGAATGTACCTAATCAACCTTGGACTAATATATTTATGAATTTTGTTGTTCTTGGTTTAACACACACAAAAAAGAGTAAAGATAGTCTTCTTGTTATGGTAGATAGATTTAGTAAAATGACTCATTTTATGGCATGCAACAAGATGGATGATGCAAATTATATTGCTGACTTATTCTTTAGGGAAGTATAAGATTACATGGAATCCCGAGAATTATTGTTAGTGATAGGGATGTTAAATTTTGAAGTCACTCTTGAAAAGTATCGTGGGGTAAATTGGGTACCAAATTGTTATTTTCAACTACATGACATCATAAGACTAAGGGGCAAATTGAGGTGGTTAATAGAACTAGGAGCATTGCTTAGGTTATTATTTCTAAGAATATTAAGTCTTGGGATTGTCATTGGTAGAGTTTAGAGCAATTTATAGTACAACTCATTGTCCTCCTTTTGAAGTTATTTATGGATTTAATTCATTTACGTCTCTTGATTTGCTTCCTATTCCTTCTAATACTTTTGTGAGTGAAATAGCCACAAGTAAGACAAATTTGGTCAAAACATTGCACAAAGAGAGGAAGAAGAGAATAAAGAAACAAAATTTCAAAGTTGTTTCAAGAATTAACATAGGACGGATGAAAAACATTTTTCAACCCGATAACTGGGTTTGGATACATTTTCGCAAAGAGTGATTTTCATCTCAAAGGAAGACAAAGTTACATCCAAGAAGGGATGACCCTTGTCAAGTTCATGAAAGAATTAATAACAATGCCTATAAAATTGATCTCCTGAAAGATTTTTCAATACATCTAACTTTTAATGTTGCTGACTTGAACTTTTTGATGTAGGTGATGATTTTGATTGTAATAGTTAGTTAGCATATTTAATTTGAGTTGGTGTCAAGGTGAGCAAGAATAATGTCCTGTACCAGCACAGGAAAGAAAATGACCTTTTATATACCTTGAGACTTTTATCGAGGGTGGGATTTATGCGTGGAGTTAGAGATTTGAAAATATGATTGTAATAGCATGAGCCCACCACCCGTAGATATTGTCTGCTATGGCCCATTACATGTCACTGTCAGCCTCACGATTTTAAAGCGCGTCCGCTAGGGAGAGATTTTCACACACTTATAAGACAATGTTTTGTTCTCCTCCAACCATGGTAGGATCTCACAATCCACCCCTTTAGGGGCCCAGCATCCTCGCTAGTACACCACCCGGTGACTAATACCATTTATAATAGCTCAAAGCCACTGCTAGTATATATTGTAATAGCTCATCTCCATCAGTCTCGCGATTTTAAAACACGTTTGCTAAGGAAAGATTTCCACACACTTATAAAAAATGTTTCATTCCCCTCCACACACTTATAAAAAATGTTTTATTCCCCTCTCCAAACGACAAGTCTCACAATAATATTTTTGTCAAGAAAGTGTCTAAACCAATTATATTATATACATCTTTGCTAAATCATACGCGCTACCATATATTGTCATCTTTGGACTTTCATTTCTAAATTTTTCCTCAAAATTTTAAAACATGTCTATCCACTCTCGAATTTTATATTATACCAATTTAAAATGAGACATATCCTAGTTCTCGTGTCTCTAAACATTGATCGGTGGACGAAAGGTCTTTTCGTGCATTTAGCTTTGGATCAAGAGTTCCATCATTTTAGCCTTAGCTTTTACTTTTATGGGTGCAAACTATTTGTGGTATAGGTCTCGTGAGAGCACGAAAGATGAAAGAATTCCACATTGAATACAAACCGCCGTAGCCCCACCAAAATGTCACACCTTCATCATGAAACCCACCTCACCACTTTCCTCTTTTTGGTATCCCCATAATCCTCTTGCCTCTCACCACTAAAATTCCCTTTCAAACAAAACCCACCAAACCTTCATAACAATCCCATTCATAGCTATTTCCCTCATCATAAACCATCATAGCATCATTCAATTCATCATTGATCTATGCATTTGTTAAACAACACCATGAACTCTTTACATGAATAATCTTTGATGGAGATATCTTCTTGACTTGTAAGTAAAAAATGAATGAAAACACCAAAGTTAGAAAAGTGAAATTGAAAAGGAAAGTGGGGAATGAATGATTATTGTTCGTCACCAGAGCTTGCATGCGAGAGCTGCTTTACCCATTCAAATGTTCGACGATGTGACACCCTCGTTCCCCTTTCCTTTTCATTTTCCTTTCCATTTTCACTCCTTTTCTTCTTCCCCGCCGCCGCTACTGTATCCACTGATTTTTTGCAGCTCACCACACCCAGAAACGAGCCAGCTGTTGTATGCGCCGCCGGGGTGGCGGCGGCGGTGGCGGAGGAGGAGGAGTTAGTGCGAGTTTTGAGGTCGTGAAGTTCCATTCCCGGCGTTCGGAGAAGACCCAGCCGGAAAAAGTCCCACCGGGATGAACTCCGGCTTCGGCGGCCGGAAGTTGAATGGGATCTGATTTGGGGCGTCGGACTAGGATGAGAGTGGAAAACGTTGTTGTGTGGTCTTGGCTTGGAATTCGTCGGAATTGAAATGGAATTATTACTAAGACTTGATGATCTGAAATTTGAAATATACTTTATATCATTCAAATATCAATGAACAACATAGTAATGTTAGGATTAAGAATTGCTAATTTATTATAAGCCATTTTTGTATTTATTTTTATTTTTTTAGAGTAGATTTCTATACTCTTATAAAAAAATTAAAATTTATCTTTCTATGCTCGTGAAAATTGAAAAGGTTTACCGGGAATAATGGCTTCTACTGCTACTGCTGCTGGTGCTTCCATTTCTAAACCTTAACATATCCGAAGACTCCGACCTGTCGGGAGAGAAGCAAGAACAAGACAGGGAGGAAAGAATCTTAGATTATAATAAAAATAGGCTGAAATTATAAAAAAAATATAAAAAAATGATAATGTATAAAATTTGGACCTGGTGGAGGAATTTCTAGGAAAGAAGGGGTTATTGTGGGAATTTTCAGAGCTGAAAGAGTGACGAAGAGGGAGGATATGGCCTTGAAAGAAGACCTCATCGGCGGCGCACATGGGCTGCGGCAGTGGCGGAGGGCAGTGGTTGAAATCAAAGTCCTCCGATTGGACGGCGGCGGAGGATCTGATCGGGGTTTCATTTAGATTCAAAGGCGGCTGCGTTTCTTTTAGAGGAAGGTCACAGAAAGATAAAGCTTCTTCGTCTTCTTGTTCTTGGATTTGGTTCTGTTCTTCCCATGTTTCATCTCCATGACAGCTTCTTCCCATGATGTCTTCTTCTCTACCTCAATTTCAATTTTTCTTTTTAATCTATTTTTAGAAAAGAATAAAGAGATATATAGCCAAGTATGATGAGACAGAGAAACAAGGAATGAATATGGCCCATCGGTATGTACATATATATGAAGGGTCTAATCAATATCTTTATGGATTATTTCAATATTATTGCTAAAATAATAAATTTTAAACAGATTAATTTTAAATTATGATTTTCTTAATGATGATTTAAACTTTAGATTATGAGCTCAAATTCTTGCATTAGTGTGATGCCCCATTAAGGTTTACGAATTTAATTTTTAAAAAATGCCCATAGTATTTGAAAGTCGAGTTAGTATAAGCTTAGTTCAAGATTTTGAACAAAAATTCTACGTTGTATGAATATGGATTCAGTATTGGTAGATGATTATAAAAAATAATAGTTATAGTAAGAGTAGAGATGTCACGATTCATTTTATGAGGCTTCAAATAAAAAATTGTAACATGGACAAACAGACCAACATTAAATCGTAAAAAAACAAGAGGTAAGGTAGCTCTAGGAGCATCCAAAAGGTTAGAAACACGTTGATGGTTAGGAAATTTGAGGAAGGGTTCCCAAGAGGAGTGTAAGTTTAGGTGCAGACTTCATCATCTACATCATCATCTACAGGAGGTTGTGTAGTGAAGGAATGTCTACCGTCAATGTTTGGTAGATTAATCATCGAGACAATGTAACAATTTGAGCAAAGAAAATGGACAAGAGGATGTCCTATCTTGGGAATCAGGCATAAGCAACTTTCTTGATGATAATTTTTAAGGAGGGAAGAATTTATAACACTCAAACCTCAACCAGTAATTAAATATTCGATTTTTTCTTTTAAGCTCGAATTTTAAAGATTTTATTGAGGGTTTTAAGAGCCTTATAAGAGAAAAATGTTTTAAAAAAAAAAACCTAGAACTCAGTAAAAAATTAAGAAACTTTTAGAACCCTGATTAGATGGATGATAAAGAGGGGAAAGAAAAAGGTAAGAAAGAGAAAAGAAAGGCTAAGGTTTGGAAGAGAGGTAGAAATTGAAATCCTCTATAAATGGCTATTTGGAGTAAGAATTTCACCATAAATTATTCACAAGAAATGTTCAATGGATTGAGGAGAACCTATTTGGACTTTTGAATGGACAGAATATGTCAGGACATAATGAAATTTGATAGATAGGAGTTTCAAGTTCTTATTTTCGATTTTTACTTAGATGGGTGGATTTTACTTAGATTTGTGGATTTTACTTAGACTCAGGTTCTAATTTTTATTAGGTTATTCTTGGAGATATTTTGGTCAAACTTTATGAGCGAAGTTGATTTTGATTAGAAGTTAACATTCTAGTGTGCATCAAGAACGGTTAGATTTACAGTATTAGATTATTTTTGGACTTAGTTATTTTTTCTCGTGTTTGATTAGAAATTAAAAGAAAAATAACTTTGTAAAAATGGATGAAAACTAACAAAGTTAGGTGTGGCGAAGAACCTATGTCTATCTCGACATAAACTGTTCATGTGACTTGACCTGACATAGTGCAATCTATTCGAGTGTACCACATGTCGTGTAGAGAGTATAGGTATCCTCCCTTGGAGCGCACATGGAAATGCACATAAAGACTCTTCTTTGTACGTGATACTCACATGTAAATCCACTTTTTAACTCTTATGACTTTTGTTTGTCAGTTTCTCATCTTGATTTCAACACTAAGCCTAATTCTACTTTTATTAGAACCTACTAGAGAAATTTTATAATTTTTGGAGTTCCTTAGACGGAAAAACTTAGTTCACGGAGGCATGCGTCATCCATGTAAGCAGCCACATAGACTTTAAGTTAGTAGTACTTGTAGGGATCATTAAGACATGCTAGTACATGAACATTCTTTACCTTAGGTAGTAAGAATATACATGTTAGAACTACACAAGGGCGCTTTTGGATAAGAATGTGTTATATGTGCGATAAAAAAAATTATTATTATTCCTCTAGGATAAGATTGTGAGATGCATGTTACTTTTATATATTCTACAATGCTAGGAAGAGAATATGCATGACTAGAATCCGAGTTCGGAAATAAGGATGAGTAAGGTATGTAAGAGGTAAAAATTACTAAAATGCTCCTGTGATGAGATTTTATGAATGCTATTTTAAATGTTTCTTATTGTATTAGAATGGACGATGAGATATTGTGTTATGTGTTTTGGGTGATTGATGGATGTTATACTCCATTGAGCTTGTATGCATGATTTAGTATGTTAGGCCCAAGTGATAATCACTATGTGTTCTGCATGTAGAGCGTGTGTTTATCTGCCTATAGCTAGACCTAGGATGTTAAAATTTGGTTGGCTTGACGATAATTTTGGTCAGGACGCCTCTAGTAGACAAAGTATCTTAGGATCGTGTGTGGCGGTCAGAGGGTCAAGACCTTAGTGCTACTTGACCAAGATAGACTTGAGAAGTCAAAATAAAAGTAATGTGAAAGTAAGAGTCTACATTAAGCTACCTAGTCCCCTTAGGTATCCAAGTAGACCTTCACAACTCCCATAAAGGACTAGGGTGATGTTAAAATCAAGTTTCTTGTGTTTTAGATGATAATAGGTATATCTCTCCAACAAGCATGCATGGATGAATCAAGTTAAGATATATTTTTAGTAGACCGTGCACCCAAGGATCATGAGCGGTGGTGTAATAACCCAAAAATTAGAAAAAATAAAGAAGAAAAGAGAAAGAGATTGTCCCCATTGCTTAACTTGAGAAGTGGGGGGTTGACCTCTACTATAAAAGATAGGTCCCTCACTTCATTTTATCATCCCACTTGAATGGTTCAAACCAATTGAAGAATACACTTTTTATTGGCTCAGGTTAGCATTTTGGCTGATCCGACTTGGGTATGATACACTCGGACTCTTTCCTCCTAATTTCAATTCTTGAGAAGCGTTTTAGGTTAGTAGGACTACCTTTAAGCTAGTTTAAATTTTTGGAGTCAAATTTAAATTATTTATGCATTTTAGTTTTAAATTATTTTATACAAAATTAGGCTTACTTAGTTTAAATTATTAGGGAAGGTCAAAATTATTTTATGCAAAATTAGGTGAGTCAAATTCCATAGTAGAATTTTAATTATGATTGTTGGACTCCTTAGGCAGAATTAAATTCAGAAAGCAGCCTTAAGCTAGCATCAACAAGTCGTAGTAGCTTCGGCCTAGGCCAACCAACTAAGAGGCCCTACCATGGTTATAATTGTGTGCTTTATAGTGACACATACCCGTGACTTCGCACGTGTCATATGCCCATAAATGCAAACTGTTATGAAATGATATTTATAAATTATGAGACGTGATTTTTATGTTATAATTGATGAATTGATATGTTTATGATATGATATGTTAAGATATGATACGTTGAATGCATGCTTGGGATAAGGTATGTGACTGTTATTATTTATGATATGATATGTGCATGATGTGAAATGTTATGTCTGGAAGCATGAAAATGTTATGATATGACATGTGTAACATGAATGATATGATATGATTGACATGCAAAATGACGAATTGCCATGAAATGCAACTTCATACACGCATGGAAGATATGATAAAAATGATGTGATATGAAGGAAAATGCTAGCGGGGTTGTAGTATATGATAATGAAAATGGAAAAATGTTGGGACCTCATGCATTATTGTGTGCTCATACATTGGGAGATACCCCTTCTCCTTCGTGATAGTATGAACTTGTACGCTATGAAGTAGGAAAACGATCATTATGTTTACCATAATGCTGCCAAGACGGTCATTCTCCCTAATGGGTGTCCAACCTCAACAGCTACTAGAGAATGCTCGCCCGACTAGAAAGGGGCCACGGAGGTGTACGAACCGACTGGTGGGTCCATACTCGCACATGTAGACCGTGTGTAGGAAAATTAAGTACACATCTAAATTACCCATTTAGGATAGCCGCCGTAGGAAAATAAACTGTTATGATAAGTCTCATTCATGAAATTGTATGTGTTTGTGTTTAAACCCAATAGGGGGATTGCTTACTGAGTATTTTTTAAAATACTCAAGTTATGTGCTACTTTCATTTTAGAGTAAAGGCAAGGCATATTCCTATACGGTTTACGATGACATCCCAATTTGAGACCATGACACATGCATATGGTAGTTGTATTTATTTTGTTAGACTTAGGTTAGAAGAGGAGTTTTTAATTTTAACATTTATTTATTTTATTTAGTATTACAGTTTTTAATTTTAACATTTATTTATTTTATTTAGTATTACGTTATGTCGTCTTAAAGATATTTTCGAACTTGTAAGTCCATGTCAGTGTTTTTAAGATGAAGTTTATATTTTATGATAAAGTTTTAACGCTTATTTTTCCATAAATTAATTATGTTATAATGACAGTAGCGACTCTAGGTAAGTAGAAATTTAGGGTCGTTACAGGGGGTTAGAGGTCTAGACCCATATGCACCCAAAGAATGGATTTCCTTGAGGAGTTGGCCCTAAACATCCGGACAACGTGAGACGAGATTAAATCAGCTAGATGCTTCTAGAACCTAGTAAACCTCCATGACATTCAAGAATGACAATGACAACTCTCGGTCATTAGCAATATGTAAAATGTCATCAGTACCTTTACAAATAACTCTTCAGGTTGTTGGCTATTTAGCGGTGCTATCAAAGTTTATGCTACCCTTTTCACTCTAGTACTAGTAATGTTGAGTCTGGCCTAGGCCAGTTATTGTAGGGCACCAAGTCAATTAGTTGCCCAACCTTGTGGAAGAGTCCAGATAGTAAACACGATAGAAAAGTTGTTCTAAGAGGGGGCGTAGTGCTACACAGGTTGACTCAGTAGCTGTCGGCACATGAGGGTCACCCCCTTGGACGACTTTATAGTTCTGCAGAAGGTTCACCATTTAACCTTCCATGAATGACAATCACCATATTGTCTCACTAGCAGTCTTATGAGGTACACTGGACATTCCGAGAACCTAACAAGCTACCTAAGCATAAGAACAGAAAAGTAGTTAACTTTAGAGAGAT